TTTTTTTTTTTATTCTGGGCCAGCTTTAGCTCTGAGGCCTCGCTGCTGAAAACATCGATACAATGTTGCAGTCCGGCTGAAGCCCGGCTGAATGAAAGCCGGTTTCTGGGGTTTTGTTTAGCTTCTTATTTGCAACATAGTACATAGTTGCTTAGAGTTGCAGCTGAGAGGCCGGCAAGTGAGGCGGGGAACGTTGGAGTCCGCAGCCAGCAAGCCTCATGCTCGCTTCAGTGCCTGGCTGCCGGCCGCCATCTTGGCTGACAGTTAATTTGCATATACTCACTGATTAGCCAATGAAAAGGGTAGCGGTCGTACGCTAATTACCATGTTTCTCTTTTATTAGTGTAGATTATTTGCATAACTAATTCACTTCATTGTACTGATGGGTGGTCATAATAATCTGGCCAGTCATAATAATCTGGCCACTTAGTGTATATATATATTTAGGTATATTCTTTCCCGCCTCACACACTTTGATGTAGGTTTATACTCTACATCATATTCTATACTTGGATTTTTTTCATTTAACATTATCTCTTGGGAATTTGTTCATGTTCACATGATAAGTCCTCCTTGTTGGCTTTTAGGACTCCTAGGTTATTTCCAATTTGTGCCATTACAAAAACTATAATGGATGAGTATTTGCACATTTGTGCAGCATAGCTACAGGGTAAATGCCTACTGGGTAAAATAGCACGTTCACCTTACATTTTGATATATTTGCTTTTGCTTTCCTTGCCTTTGAGGTCAAGCTCATAAAATCCTCTGTAAGATCAAAGTCCTTTAGTTTAATATGTTTTCTTCTATTATTAGAGAAGTTGAGAGAAAAAGGAATCCTCATTCACTGGGCGGGAATGTAAACATGGTACCGACACTATGGACAGCAGTATGGAGAATCCTCAAAAAATGAGGAATAGAGTTACCATATGACCCAGCCACTCCTCTTTTCGGTATCTACCAGAAAATTTTGAAAACATTTGTTTGTAAAGATATATGTACGCCTATGTTCAGTGCAGCATTATTCACAGTGGAAGCAACCTAAGTGCTCTTTGAAAAAAAA